TGACGGTGCTATAACAAAGGGACCGTTACCTAATGGCAAAAGAAAGAACTGGATGCTTCGACCAGCAGTTCTAGCGGTAATATTTCTCGACAAAAGTTTGTCCAAGAGTCAGCTGTGTATTCTAGTAGTACAACTTCTAAAACGCCTAACAAATATAAACCTGGAGGCAGTAAGAAGACACCTTCAAAAACACCAAAGAAGTCTCTGGCCACGACCACCGACTCCAGGTAAATTGACAAAACACCTGGAGATGTAGGTGATCGTTTTATCCCTTCAAGGGCTAACTCCAATTTCGAACTAGGGCATTTCAAATTTAATCAACAATCTAGTCAAGAGAATGGCGAAGATCAAGTGGTTTCCAGTCGGGAATCTGAGATGCAGACTCGTCAATAACGCATTAGGTAATAATCCTAACCAAAGAATTTTAGCATACTCAAATAAAGCACCAGCTGCTCCTGATTCTCATCAAAATCCTCTAAAGGTGGTTATTCACAATCACGTACACCTGCAAGTGCTAAAGCAGGTTCCAGGTACATTCCTCATGCCCCAGATAGAATTTGGATGCCCCTGAAATAATTGATGACTACTATTTAATTTACTGGACTGGAGTCCCGATAATGTATTAGCTGTTGCACTAGGCAATCAATTATATTTATGGCATGCTGAATTTGGCACCACGGAAGAATTGTTAGGGTATGAAGGTAATGAACATGCTTGTTCTTTAGCTTGGGTGGTCAAGGCAATCATTTAGCTATAGGAACTTCTGAAGGTAATGTAGAGGTATGGGACTGCAATCATATGAAACGATTGCGTTTTGAGTGGACATGGTGGTCGAGTTGGATCTTTGTCATGGAATAACTATGTTATAACTTCTGGCAGTCGCACTGGTCACATTATTCACAGTGATGTTAGACAGCGTGAACTCTTATATCCAATATTGACGCTCACGATCAGGAAGTCTGTGGATTAAAATGGTCTCCAGATGGCAGATATTTGGCATCTGGTGGAAATGATAATATTTTAAATGTATGGTCTGCTGTCAGAGGCCAATGTTATGGAGAAACTACTCCTGTACATGTTTTCAATTCACATCAAGCAGCAGTCAAAGCTATTGCATGGTGCCCTTGGCAAAATAATATTTTAGCAAGTGGAGGAGGCACTGCTGATCGTTGTATAAAAATTTGGAATGTCAATACGGAACTAGTGTTAGCTCAACAGATACCCACAGCCAAGTTTGCGCTCTGTGTTGGGCACCGCAATATAAAGATTAGTATCAGGGCATGGATTTACTGACAACCAGTTAATCATCTGGAAATTCCCTGCTATGACGAAACAAGCTGAATTAAGAGGGCATACTGCCAGAGTTTTGAATTTAGCGCTTTCTCCAGATGGTACAACAATCATGAGTGCTGGAGCTGATGAAACTCTAAGATTATGGAAATGCTTTGTACCAGACCCATTGAAGAAAAAGTCAGGCGTTGAAACTTCGAAACAGAGCTTAATTTTGAGACAATGCATTCGGTAATTGTTTTAACTAGCATAAGCTAAATTGTTTTTAGCATTAAATTGTATGGTATTTTATTTATATATGAATTTTATTGTGTAGTTTAATTTTGATTTATTTTAACAAATAACTATAATATGTATACTTTTTAATGACTGAATATATAGCTTTTCTTCATTTTTAATTCTTAAATTTGTTAATTAAATAGATATGTTGTATTATTAATAATGAGTGTAAATATAATAATCTATGTAATAATAAATGAATCTTATATCACTAGACTGGAGTTATAATATTTTCTTTAATTATCAAAAATATATCAATATATTTTAATTATTGCTTTAAGATACTGGTTTATATACATTTAATCTAAAAAAATATTCTTAATGGCATTACAATAAGTTTTAGTAAATCAATTTATTTATTGTGAGTTTTATCATAAGTATTTTTATGTTTATAGCCCTGAACATATCCGTCGTTGCTAGTTGAATCTTCGCGGCCTGCTTTGCCCTTACCTTTGCCACTTCTATCGAAACGTTGGGCATGTGTTCCAGTGTAAGTTGATGGGTCTGTTTAGTCTTTGCAACGCACTCGTCACTTCAACGATCTATGTTATTTAAGAAAAGAAAACAGTTTTATTAGAAAATATCTTTTGTCCTGGAAGAGTCCTGGATTTTTTTCCTGGACTCTCGACTTTTTGTATAAGCAAAATTTTCCCAGACGGTCCCAATTTTTTGAAAAGGGTTTTATGTTCAAAATATATTTCTACTAAATTATTTACAAAATTTGAACCGAAAAACCAGTACATATCAGAACTGGCGACTCGAATAGATACTCTAAAAGCGATATTATTTATTATTCGCTTATATAATTATTTGTAGTAATATTTTTTAATGATTGATGCAAAATCTTAGAGAACTAATTGCTATCTAATAATTACCCCTGGAGTAAACTTTACACCATCATTTAAAGTTTGTTAAAACAAAACTTTTAGTATCAAGAAGAAATAATATGAAATAGTTTATTTACAGTGGCACCTGCTGCAAGTCCAGGCATACCGCTATGTTTTAATTTTGCTTTTATTTCTTTGGAATCAACATTTTTGGACAGTGCTAGATCATCTATGAACTTCAAGTAATTTTCGAAGGTCAGAGTTCGAGATCTAATTTAAAATATACGTTAGCATATTCATCATTTAAACTTTTTTTTTATTTTGGAACGATTATAACTTGAATTTTCCAAACAAATGCCAGTGTCTGTTGTTGTTATCTCTTTACCAATAACTTTTGCTTGTTTCATCCATTTATCAGATTGAGTTAATGTTATAGTTTCTCCATTAGATCTCGTATCGCCAAATTTTGAATATGCTGCAAAAAGGTGTTGAAGTCGTGACATTTTAATGGGGCATCGTACACGGAGTTTTTGGAAAATAAAATGAAAAGAATTTAACTTGTATTGAACATAATTTTGTATTGTGAAAAACAATTGGAATTTGTTTTATATTGCAAATGATTTGATTGACATTTAAAATATAAAAGAGGAATGTTTTTTTTATATTTAAAAAAAATAAGGAAATTAATTTTGTTATATAAATATAACAAATATATAAATTATGATGTAAACATGCTCATCAGATCATAAAAATGAACAAGTCATAATTATCTAGTCTAGCTAATTGCACACAACTATCTTTAAGGTAATTGTCAGCAATTTTTCATTGCAATTAAGGTAGTAATCATGTAGTAATCTTATTTGAATTGAACATTTATTTATGATACGCTATCTTGTTAATAATTCATAACAATATTTTTTCTTATATATATGCCATGATACATAATTTTTGTTCTTTGTCATTAGATGTATTAAAAAATACAAATTAAATATTATATTATGCTATTATTCTTCTATATTATTTTTATATAATTTATTTCTTAAATTATTTTATACACACAGAATTATAATATTTTTTAAAATCATAAAGTACTTCTATATTTTTATATTACTTATATATTTTGCTAACCATGATTATAGTAAGAATAAGAACTAAAACATTTATAGTGAGAATAATTGCAATTTTTTAATTTTCATATTTTTTTAATTTATTTAATTTATTCATAAGAATCCGTAATCAATAATAATAAATATATTTCAGGCTCTTGTCAAGCAAATATTCTTACTATAAACAATGTTTTTAGTTTTTAGATCTGAACAATTTTTTAACAATGTATTTTAAATAGAATCATTTAGTATTAATAGAGTTTAATTAACTATCATACTTTCATTTTGCCATAATTTATTAGTTTTTTCTTTTGTGTTTAGTCTTTTTATAATATTTTAATTGACTCTAGTAGATAACCCACTACTAATTTGTAATCAACTTTTTACCATATACTTTTCAGCATTCTATGCTTAATGTAATAATATATACAAATTGCAAAATAAAATTGAATATAAAAAGTATTAATAAAATCTGATTTCTTCTTGTACTATTTATACATGTATAACCATAGATAAAAGAAGAGTTTGGGAGAATAGTTCAATATATTTTTATTAGGTATTTGGAAATTCAATTACTTCACAATTCTCAAACTCTCCATGTAACTTACATAGTCCATGGCACTTTTTCTAGAATGTTGCCTCTCTGCAGAGCCGGCTAATGATGTGGCTTGCTTGTTGCTTGTCAGCTTGACAGTTCTTTGACGTTTTCAGTCTTATACATACCTAGTGTAATAATGTTTTCTATTTATTTATAATCAAAATTAATTTGTCTGTCGTTAAATAATTTATTTACAGCTTTTTATCTATATTTCTTTAAATTAAAATAACTATAAATCTGTGATACAATATTTAAATATTATTTTATTATCAAGTGCAACCAGAAGGACTTAATACTAATAATAGAAATATAATGACATTGAAAGTTTTTAATAAATAACACAGTTGCTTAATAGTTTATTTCGTTATGGATCGTTCATCAGATTTAAATGATCCTCTGTCAGATTCAATGAAAGAGTGTTACGAAAACTTAATTCTTATCGATATCGGAGCGAATCTTACGAACAAAAAATATAGCCGAGACTTAGAATCGGTTATTCAAAGAGCAAAAGATGCAGGTAATATTTGTTTTTTATTTGTCTTTATATTGTGATTTGTTTCAAGTACATTTAAAAAAAATAGGTGTGCAAAAAATTATGTCTACCGGCACATCTGTCCGAACAAGCAAAGAGGCTTTGCGTTTGTCAAGACTCTTTCCTGGAACAATTTACTCGACTGCAGGTAGGAAATTCATAAATTATTAACGTTGTTTAGTATTTACAGTATTTTAACTATTTAGAATTATTTATACTAATTATAAGTACATTAGTTATTTGAATTTTGCCTGTAGGACAGTCTTGTTCACAAATATTATATAAATTACAAAAATATTTACTAAACTTATTTTTAATAATGAAAATGGAAGGTGAAATCACGTATATAATTTAAGTATGCATTGCTAGAAAATAACATATAAATAAACTTCCAAAGCTAATATATTCAGAAAAACTGTGGAATGTCTGTAACAAATCAGCTGTTTCACACATAAATTTCACTTACATAGAATTTATTCTATAATCAGAGAAGAAGAAGCTCAGAAGTCCAAAGGCCAATTGATTGTTTGCTATTTTTCAATTTTTATTTTAATTCTTTTTCACTACAACTATTTACATTTATTTCACATTATATAAAAAATATAAATGCGATCTAATTTAATTTAAACAAATGTTCTAATATATATTTAAAGCATTTCAATTCTTATTTGAATTGCATGGATCATCTTATAAGAAGATTGAAAAGGCCATACGTGTCGAAATTGAAATCATTAATTGAATTAGAGAATTTCTGGTTAGCAAAGTGGAGGGCCGAGAGCCGTTCCAAATATTGGAAATATATTTTTGTTAAAACTGTATTGAAAGTATAGTTAGCTAATCCAATTAAAATCAATTAAAATTACTATAGGTAACGAAGATTTACTTTAATTCTTAGTAGCAACGAAATAATATATTCTAAGGTGAAAAAGTCACCCTTATAAATGAAGGCTTCTCAATAAGCTTCATATTTATATATTTATAATTTTTATTTCACATTATATCATTTCGAAATGCAATACACTAGACATTGACCATTTTATTCTTTTTTGTCCTTTTACCTTTTTTTATGGCTGGGGATATGTCTTAAAATTTATAAAAATGGGTCTAAATATTAATAACACTTAGTTTTACAAAAAAATTTAAAAAAATATTTTGGTATTTTATTTTAGAAAAACTGGTTTAGAAATTTTTGGAGTTGTATTTGAGGGGATTAGCAGTATATTAGCAGTATGTAATTTTTTTAAATTAAAATTCTAATTCTAATCAGAGGTATTAAGGTTTTTATAAATGTTTTGCGTATGACTACCTGGTCAAGGGTTCATATTTGTTATTAATACAAAAATGTTCAAGAAATTATATATATATATATATATATATATATATATAATTTTAAATTAACTCTGCAAGTTTTATCAGTAAGTTCAAAACAACGCACTGACTGCATTAAAAAGTACGAGTACTATCCACTTTCTATCTAAATAACAAATATCTAAAATATTCATTTTACTTCATATGTTATTTCAAATATTTTATTTAGTTCATTAACCATAACTTTTGTACTAATTAAACCACGAATTTCTACACAAATATCACATTGTTATTTTAAACAAAATTCCAAAGCCCATAAAACGAATTCTTTGAAACATTGGTCTACATATTTCAGTTGTTTAGTCACTGGACAAAATTAATAATAAATATTATTATCTTTTTATCATTTAATCCTGTAGAATGTTTCCATATTTATTTTAATTTGTAAACAATAATATATTACAAATTAAAATAACCCAATTTTCAGATTTCAATATTATATAAAAGTTTGTACTTATAAAATAGTACATCACTTCTTGTAAATTTGAAAAATATATAATTTTGTTTGTTTTCTTTAGTTTTTTTAGGTTTTGTTTGGAATTGAAATTGTTGTGTAAAAATTTGGCATATTTTTAAATATTTCAAAATAAAATACTTCATTTTTGAGCCTGTATAGTTGCTTTTTCTTACATAATTTTGTCACTAACCAAAATTTTTAGCTATAATATTGTATAAAAATAAAAACCACAAAATGTGATGACTAACTATTCTTCATAAAACTTATTATAAACTTTTTGGAAATGTAATCGAGTATGATGACTTGATACTTATGAAGGCGTGATGATGATGATTAAGGAGTTTTACTCATATACTATTTAAAAAATGAAGTTTTTATTATTTTGTGAAATAAAAAACATACATTTTCTATTTAAGTTTTAGCTTCATAATTCATTTCAGTCAAGACTTTGGAATGCAGAATCGAATGGTTATATGAATAATTGTTCTAGATTTGTTAGAAGTGCATTGTTTAATCTTATCTAGACAATAATATTTAATTATAAAAAATTCAATGAAATGCATTTCTTATTATTGAATAAAATTTATCGGCTTATCAATAAACGATTCTGTGTTATATATGATATAACAATATGTGTAATTCATTGAGAATTTTTTTGACGAATTCTTTTTATTAGTTACATAGTTGACTTAATTATTTATATCACACATTATACTCGTACATTTTCAAAAATTTCAACATGAACAGAATTATTCAAAAAATTAATCAGGTTTCAAACTAAAAATCGTTAAATGAATAATTTTTAAAACATTCACCAGATATAAATATTATAGAAATTAATTCTTTTATTTGAGTAGTTGTTTTAAATTTAACTATTTTAGTTTGAACTATTACTTTTTACTTGAATATAAAAAAGGTTTATGAAGGAAAATATTTGAAAGTAAATAAAATTTGCACATCAAAACTTATGACTAACTATTATAAGAAATTTTAAGAAAATTATAAGAAAAATTATTTAAAAATTTAAATTTGAAATTGGTTTCTACAAGTTAATGCCGCTTGCTTTTATTTTATCTATGTTATTCTATGTTATCTATTGTTAATTTATCTATCCATATTTATTAGAGCGGTTCGATTTGTATGGGTCATATTATCAAAAAAGTCGCTTATTCACACATGATTTTCGGATACTAGGGATCAAAATAAGATACTTTGCTGAAGAAACTATACCTCTTAAATGAATTCTGATGTCCTGTGCAATGACCCAAAAATAAGGGTTGAAATTTGAAAAAAAATATTTTGATCTATTTAGAATGCCCCTTTCGCTTCCAAATATATGACCGACCCCCACTAACTTTCGAAAGCCAATTCACCTATGTCCGTGGTTCATCCCCCGAGACCTCCCCTGAGCGGTTTTTCAACATTCAACCCTTATTTTGGGT